ATTTACAATTTATCATATTTAATTTTATTTAAAATTGTATTTTTATAGTTACAATTTATACTTGAATCACGGATTTTGGAATAAAGAAATGGAGCATAAATTAATAGCGTTTTCGGGTAAAATGGAATCTAACATAGATTAGTGCACCTTTTGGATTAGTGCATCTAAAACGAGATGGAAACATAGAATGGGAGCGTTAGAAAAGGGAAGAATGAAAAAAGAGAGTCACCGATCCAGGTTAGATTTCATTTCACCCGAAATACTATAAAGAGGTGAAGCACATTCGCAAGGAGGGAATCTCATATTCGTTTCAAAGTCGCACCACGACTTCTATATAATAGACTTCTATATAATAATACTAGACTGCTAATATCTGTACAAAATGACTTGATAAAGTGATGGAAAGTACAAATAGTAATGAGAATATTTTGACGATGTATTGTACCAGTTATTTAGTTTTTAGTTTTTGAACAATCTATCAATAATATGTACATGTACAACAAAATATGTTGAATAAATATTGTGCAAAATATTCTCAAATGCATCAGATTTATAATATGTTAACACATATCTAATAATCATGATGTAATATTTTGGCTGCGTTCTAATATTCACTGCCAGTACTGGAAATCTATAATATGTGTGACACGAATTATATATTTTCAGTACTGTCAGTGAATATCGGAACGCAGCCTCTATAAAAATACTCACATATAAATAGCCAATCAAAAGACTGTCCCAATGGTTAGAAAGCAATATGGTCGCTTCCACGTGTGATTAGGCTTTTCAGTTTTTAGTTGCCTTGGTGAGCAATTATAAGCATGTGAGACTGTGTACTTGTGAGATCAATTAAATTTTGAGGTAAAAATTACAAAAGTGAAAACATGAACTAGTTTTTGACATATGAAGTCACAGATGCTCTAATGAATTTCTTCACTTTTGTAATTTTCATTTCTTTCAAAATACACAATTCCCGAGAAGTTGCATTAGATATTTTGAAATATTGACCCATATTCTGAATCCTCTTTTATCAATAAAAGTTTTATCAATAAAAGCCTTTAAAAATAGCTGATAGGCAATCAAAAGACTTCAAAAGATAAATCACTTTTAGAAGCATTTTTATCAAAGAAAGAGGATTCAGAATATGAGCTATTAATTATTAAAGTATCTTTTTATCATCGTTCATTTTTAGCATCAAAATAAATTATAATATGATCAAAGTTGATCAGAATAATGAAATAATCATTTTTTTTATCACATAACCTATTTTGACCTATTGCTAAAAATGAGCGATGAGCAATGCATAAAAAAATATTTTTAAAAATTTATAATTCATCTTAGCCATTTTATTACTGTATAAAATAATTTGAAATTCTGAGCCGAGTTTCTAGATTTGAATTTTTTGTATTAAAACGGTAAATAAATTTGAGTGTTTATAATATCGATGAATGTATTGAATCTCTTTTATGTAAAAATTTATTCCACTCATCTTTACACGCTTATATTCATCTATTGGTTTGCTTGATTAAATATACAAATTTCTTACGCGTAAAATGAAACCACGATTGTTTCCAACAATTTCCTTGCGCTTTTGTTCTGATCTTGTTCTCTGGTCCCTGGTCTCTGGTCTTTGGTTCGTATGTTCTCCGATACTCCTGCTTGCCGATCAGCTTTAATTCCAGATTTTTTGCTCCGACTCCAGAATTTTCTCCGTATTCATACTCGAACTTACCCGCTGCGTTAGGCTGGCGTCCCATGGCGAGGAAATCCACAGCGAAACGGAACGCGCGAACCAATCACAGCGAAAGAATCAAAAGAAAACTCGTTCATTCTGTTCGTTCTTTTGCTGTGATTGGTTCGCGCGTTTCGTCTTTGTAGTATTCACAGCTTGAATAATGGAAAAATTCTAGGCGCTGGTCCCTGTGAGTGGCTAGTAGTTAATCGTGACGTGATCAAACGGGTATCACCCGGTATATAACATCTATGACTTTAGCAATGGCTGCGTTCAGCAGAGAAAGCTTTGCAACTATTGAAAAAATCTCTGATATGATTGGTTTTTGCCATTAATTTCTCATGGATCTAAATGTATAAACCAATCATATTAAAGGATTTTATAACAATTGCAAAGCTGCTTTTTCTGCTAAATGTAGTCGATGTTACTAGCCATTCCGCTTTTCTTGCGCATGCGCAATATTTTAAGTACTTGTTAGTTTACTTATATATGCAGATATCCCCTAGCGATAATATCATTATCAATCGGATCTGTCAATGAAGGAACCGGAGGATCCGAGAATAATGAACTCCGATTAATTCATCGTAACTGCGTATAATTTCATGGATACATCTGGACCGTGAAGCAATCGATCATTCTATTGTTCTATATTAAACAGTCTTGAAACATGGCATTGACAAATATTTTGCTGCTGAGCCAAATAGCGGGCTACGTCGTAGCTCTTATCCTGTCACTGTGTATCATTGTGCCTATGAGCCTACATCAGGATGAATTTAGGTAAAATCGATCTCGTGATAACTAAGTGAGTGATAACTCTTTTGTTGTATTACAAATTATATGAATGTTTTTCTTTTTTTAGAGGACATTGTCTTCTGTTTTCAACTGGAGTGTGGCAGGAATCGGATGGTCAATTTGTGGTAAATTGGGCATCACAGGCGTATTGCAATTACACGATATTTGTAGGCTTGATACTTCTCGTGACATCAACAATACAAATCTATCGATTGTCCTTATTCATGTATCGTAACGAAGACAGCTCGTTTCTCTCTGCATTTATAGATGTTGTCACTTCCATTATTCTTATTATTGTTACTTTAATCGCGGCAATTATAGTAACTTTGGGTTTTATGACATGGTGTCAATGTATGACCAAAAGATTTCCATCATGCGAACTAGCATCTGGAAATGATATAGATAAGGCTGATGGTATCGATACATCTGGTTTTTACATTGAGCTTGGTGCTGCTCAGTTTGGCATTTGGAGCAGTCTGTCAATTTGGGTTGGTTTGTCAGTTTTTGCTGTCTTAAAACTATTAAGATATCATCAGCTGGAAAATATGAAAGTCTCCATGTACAGAGCGAGGCAAAAATTAATAGAAGCTACCACAAGTAATCAGCAGCAGGAGCCAAGTTAAAATTTGATAACCAAACATTTTTTCAGGAGTGAATTTGATAATACTTTTGTTAATTTGACGAATGAGATTTAAATCTTAAAAAACTTGCATACATGTAAATATTTACATCATATGATATTCTTTGTTAATTTCAAAGCGCACAAAGTTACTGCTAGCAAAATGAATATTGGTATAATACATATGTTTGATTCAGAGTCAATCAATTTTGCAAAAAAGATAGTAGTCTAATGTCTTCATTAAAAAATCACTATATATATCAAACAAAATATTTTTAGAATCTCATAAACATATAGTTTTCATTAATAATAAAAAAAAGTTCTTGTAGTTTTGGCATATGTCTTTAATTTGATTATATAAGACTTGTATAAAGATAGCATTAACAATGTACATATTATGATATATTTTCAAGTATAACAAATATAAGTATAGTTATAAGAATACAATAATAAAAGTTAATAACTATTTCTTTTATACTTGTTTGATGCTATTACATATATATGATTCATAAAAAGCTATTATATTAAAATTGTAATATAAGAAATACTTGTTATATGATGCCTAATTTCGTTATTTAATATTCTTTAAGTATTCTATTATAAAATATATTGTTTGTATATAAATTATAATATAAAATACATATATCGAAGTTATCCTCATGCAACTTGATGTAATGTACGTTGCTTAACCTGGAAAATTTAGTACATATGACATTGCAATGTATCTCGTATGTCGAATTGTCTAAAATGCATATACCAAAATAATCACGAATGGGATCAAGACAATAAATAGATAAATCAGACATTATTTGATCGGACAGGATTTTTAATATCTATTATAATCAGGATAGAGAGTTAAGATAATACTTTTCACAATAAATTTAAAATATAATTTTAATAAACTCAATTGTTTAATAAATTGAATAAATTTAAAAACTAACAAAGTTATTAATAAAGTTATTAATAAACGCTAAAGATCTTGTCTGACCAAATAATGTCTGATTTATCTATTTTTATTTAATTTATCTCGGCCTACACATATATTTATTTATTTATTGAGAGAGAGAGAGAGAGAGAGAGAGAAAGAGAGAGAATCAAGATATGTATTCATACTTTTTTGCATTCACCGAGTGTACTCCTACGGCTGCCTGGTGGACATTTTCTTGGGGGAACATCAATTATAATAAAAGGTGCGATATCCGCTTCTTCGCATTCCAATTGGAAGGTAGTCTCGTTCACGCCTATTACTCCATCAGGTTCGCACGGGCCTCCTATTGTTCTAAGAGGGTAACACGTGTTGTTGTACGGTACCACGCCATCCTCCAAGCAAGGATTCTCTACGCAACGAGGAACTGTCTCGTTCTCGGGAAGAACAACATAATTCTTGGGTGGACAAGGGCCTTGTCTGTAGGCTTCGTGACAGGAATCATTCAATGGAAAATATAAGAATCCAGATCTACAATCGCATACCCAGGCGTCCTTCGCTCCATCGCCTGGATAGAGAAGCATGTTTTCCGGGCAACTACCCGATGAAGATATGGGTATACGTTCCGTCATTTTCTGTAAGAATGAATATATAAGAGAAAAAAAGAAAAAAAATTTGTCATAATATTAATATTACGTTACCGTGGAATTGCCACCACTGACGTGAGACATCTCTTCACTTGTTGGATACACTATATCTTGGCCCCATATTATATAGTTATACGCAAAAAATATAAAACCGGTGTACAAACAATTCATCTTCACTGTTGGACTAGATCAAGCCACTAAGAAAATTAAAAGTACAGATACTTATAAATTCAGATAAGGAAAATGAATCCTCGCTTAATATCAAATTTGATGAGAGGTTCATTTAAAACCAGAATGCAACTATGCATAAATATTTATGTCTCTAGTGATAATGCAGATAACGAAAAGATAGTAAAAATGTCAAGCATTTTCATCCGCTTCTAATAGCAAAATCTCTTCAATAGCAAAAAAAGGAAAAAAGTCAGACATGATATATTTTAAAAAGAATATTCATTATAGTTTATATCACAAATTATCTAAATAATTATCAGTGATACAAATTATGCACTTCTAACTGTATTCTGATTCTAATTGATTCTAATGACGTTTCCAATAAATGTTTCGAGATAGATGATTTTCTTACAATTCTTAATACACTGACCTCTCGAATTAAAAAACAGAAAAACATAGGAATGTCACGCACGTATCAATGAGATATGAACTTGAGAGATGGTGCAAGATTTCCTCGCATCGCGCAATTACACTGAGCCGATGTAACGGTGACTATGATATTTCAAGGCTAACCACTGTCAAACAAAAGAAAATGAAAGAGTATACTGACCAGAGAGCGATAATCTTCACTAATACATTAGTAAGTCCTTACATACGCATATGCAATCTGCAAGAAAGTTGTTTATATATGCACGAATCAAGTAGAGAAGAGGAAGAGGAATCAATCATAATTCTGGGATAACGTGCGACCATCAAAACAGTTAAATCACTCGCATAAGGTGATAAAGAAGAATGTTATAATGTAAATTTTTTAAATATAAATTTAAATGTAAATTTTTTAAATATAAATTTAAATGTAAATTTTTTAAATATAAATTTAAATACAAGGTTTTTTTATAATTTTATATTTATAAGAAACATACAAAATTATTCTTCATCTAAAAAATTCAATGTGTGATATACACCTAGAGTATTGTTCATAGAAGTTACGAAATCGTTCTCTTTGTATTCCGGCCAAGTCTTAAATTCTTTAAAAAGTTCTAGAATTTTTGTTGGTGTTAAGTCTCCAAATTCTGTATATATTGTATAATCTTTGGCTATTAGTTTGATTCCACAGCCCGGTGCCCATTTTCTGGAGATAAAGTAATATGTGATTGTAAAGTGAACAAAAATGTATATTTGATTTAAACATACATTTTCTATAACAGAAATTATATAGTTCTTTTGCCATACTTACTCCAATGCAGGTATTACTCTAGTAGAACGTTTCCGCATGTGATACTTCACAAAATAGGAAAATATTATCCAATCTTTTTGCGATAATTGTGAATAAATGTCAGCTTTGGGTTCTAGTTTTATCACATAAATGTGCTCGTAATCTTGTTTCTTTATTAAACGACTTGTACCTGTAGTGTTGTATTTTCTTGTTGGCCAAGGTATGAAAGCTTTTCTGTTTAATGATCCCAGAAGTTCGCAATTAAACATTAATTTGAACATCACTTTTGAATAAGTATATGTTCTATGATTGCTGATGGTACAATTATATTTCTAAAACATATTATAATGAATATTAAAATGATTATCAAGTTATATTATCAAGTTTATTCAAAGATATTTTAAGAGAAAACGTGATACTAACGTGCCATACTGATGGAAGTATTGCAATATAAAAGACAGGTCTTCCATGAAGCATGAAACCCTTGCGAAAGATTAAATTATATACAATAAATACAAATAAGTTTCGATTGTCTGTTGCACATATTATTTGCATGTAAGTTTCATCTTCCCAATTTTTGCTTTTTATGTTTTCAAAAACCTTTTGAAATTTTTCAGTAGAAATGTGATCATAATATGCTCTTGCCATACCAAAGAGATTTGTATTTTCAACTGAGGTTAAATTTAGTTTGCCAGGATATTTCATACAGAATGTTTTCAACATCTCATGTAATATCAAATTTCCTTCGTATAAATGAATTAACGGTACATTAGCCTTCAACAATTCTGTTGTTAATATACCAAAACCAGGATTCAATTCAGCAATGTAACATGTATTTTTTAATAGATCATCTTTTATCAAAGATACATATTCAATAGCAGTATTTTTGTCAATCACATATAATCTATTTGTATCGGTTTTTTTAAGTGGTAGACATGTCATAAGTTTAATTACATCAACTATATCCGGATTAACTTTTTTTATATAATTAATAACGTCCAACGTTTTCTTACTTTGCGATAATTTTTTACCAGATTCCATTTCTTCCTTTTTCTTCATTTTCTTTTGATCTATTGATAGTTTTATTTTTTCAATCAATTCTTTCATTTGTGTTGTATCTATATCCTCTTTCTGATGCTCTAAGCTCTTATCAGTTAACGTCGAGTAATATATATTCACAACGTATTTATTCTTTTTTGATAACCAAGAAGTCATTAAAGGTAAAAACCTTTTATATAACATTTTATATCTGATTTATGACAAAACAAAAATATTAGAGAAAATACGACTTGCAAGAACAATCGTAAACATCTTAACTTTGTAGCTACAACTTACTTGCCTTTGATTAAAACTTTTTAAATAATTTTATTAATTTTCTTAGCAAAGTGATAGATTTCTTTCAATGATTTGTTTCTTTCTTTTTGATAAACTATCATTGTTATTCACATTCAAAACGTATTTACACGTGTTCATGCTTATGAGCAACTTCTTCTTAACCTAATCTAACCTAATTTCCTCTTTTAGCGTTTATGCTACTGATATATCACATTAGTATTCTTTTTATTTGTCATAACGTTACCTGAAATAATTGTAAGTAATTAAAAAATGTACAATGTATAAATTATATAAAATAAACGCATAAATTATAAATTCACATGTTATCCTTACGTTTCTGTTTTACAATTATTTATGGCGTTGATCTTGGTTAGGTTTTGTTTTTAAATGGAATAGTATTTTTTTTTAATTTAGACTTTATGACAAAAATTTATATTAATATAAAGAAGAAAAAAGCAAATCATCTCAACATAAATAATAAAAAAAAATATATATATATATATATATGTATATATATATGTATGTATATTTATTTGTTAGGATGAGCCATTTTTCTAAAAGTTTATATATGATAATAATTACACAGGAATTTAGAGATACCTGTGTTATAAAATTCATTTTCTATTTTGCATGAAATTATTATTCTTAGATTAATGTTACTTTTACGATTAGCTTTTAGATGTAAAAGTATCTTAGATATCATCTGGATTTCTCCAAAACGAGCATAACTTATCGATGATATATCATATCATTGTTATTCTTATCTCTACAAAGTATTCATAAAATGGCTCAAAGTGCCGCTCTGTTAACACGGATAGTGGCATCCTCTGTATCTGCCACAGTACAAGCCGGAAAAATAATTCGAGATGTTTTAAACAAAGGTGGATTAAATATTGTGCAAAAAGGTAAAAATGATCTGCAAACAGAGGCAGATCGTTGCGCCCAACAATGTATCATAACTTCACTCAGTCGTCAATTTCCAAATATCACGATTATTGGTGAGGAAGAACCATCTAACTGTGAGGTACCATCGGAATGGATCATCACAGAAGCAGATCAAGAGGTATTGCAGATGAAACTACCAACACACTTGGAGGATATTAATCCTAAAGATGTGTGCGTCTGGGTAGACCCTCTGGATGGTATTGATTTTTACTTTAAATATAAAGAAAAAGTGCCACAAATACATTTGTACTTTCAAATATTATTTACAAATTTACGTTACAGGTACGGCAGAATACACGCAAGGACTAGTGGAACATGTCACAGTGTTGGTTGGTGTGGCAATTGGCAAAACGGCAATCGGAGGCGTGATACATCAACCCTATTACAAGAATGATGAAAATGGCATGTATGTTGAAAACGGCCGTACATTGTGGGGTATCGAGGGCGCGGGATTCGGAGGATTTATGCCGAAATCACCTCCACAAGAAAAGAGAATAATCACAACTACTCGGTAATGAATGATTTTAATATTTGTACTTGAATATTTTTTGTTAAATATATTGTCTTCCTTTTCAGTTCGCATTCCGACAGTATTGTCCAAAGCGCCATAAAATCGCTGAATCCTGACGAAGTGATGCGCGTCGGTGGCGCTGGGCACAAGGTAATTAATTATGATTCTTATGTACAATTTCTGAATTATTTAAAATATATTTTTAATTAATCGAATTATACAAAAGAGACACTACATATATATCTGTTCAGATAATTCTTCTATTAGAAGGAAAGGCTCATGCATATGTATTTGCCAGTCGCGGATGCAAGAGATGGGACACTTGTGCACCCGAGGCCATTCTTCATGCAATCGGTGGCGTTTTAACCGATCTTCATGGTGAACGCTATTCCTATAATCAGGAAACGATACATATAAATACGAGAGGCATATTGGCTACTGCGCCCGGTCAGTCGCATCAGTGGTATCTAAGTCGTATACCTAATGAGTAAAACGAAGTTGCAA